ACCTACACAACCAAAACATCATCGTCGTCGTCGTCGTCGTCGTTAAACATCAATTCGAGCTAAGAGAAGTCCTAGAATCGCGAAAGGTTTCACCTGATTTGCCGATGCGCGGAGGGAGAGAAGCGGCTCCGCCTGGGGATAGTGGAGGCATCGGAGGAGGGATGGAGAGGGGAGGGGGAGGGAAGGAGGAGGCGGTGGGGGTGAGGGATGGAGAGCCTCCCCATCGCTTCTGTTGTAGGGTTTGGGTGGGGAAATGAGGAGGGCGAAGTACCGATATATACCGGTGGGTGGTTCGCCGCTCGTGAGATGGATTGGGATTGGGAGGAGGGAAGCGGTTGTTACGTGTTGGGAAGCCGATGCTTGATTACGAGGAATTTTAACACATCCATCCTTATAAAGACTCAAAATAATATATTTGTTCCTCTAAGGATGGATATGTTAAAATGCATAGTACCATTAAATCCATGTTATAGTGCAACCCTTTAGGAAGTTAATATTATAGAAATCATCGATTTTGGATGTACCATATAATTTTACCTTATTATTATGAAAAAGGAGTCATCTCATCCATATTTTCTGGAGACTATAAGTCTCCGTATTTTCACTTAAGTTGCATATTATGATTTTTTTATGAGTTTTTGAATAATATTTATTGAGTCTGTTTAATTTAGTTGTTTATTGAGTCTGTTTGATATAATTAGAATCAGGTAGAGATTTATTTAATATTTATTTATTATTAAGAATCTTGATGGATCCTAAGTAGAACTTTTTAAATAGTGATGTAACCCTTTCTTTTAATCAATCAATCAATGAAATGTTATTCTAGTTTGTTATGATAAACCCTAAGAGGTCGATCCTCTCGAAGCGATTATTCTCATTTCATTTTCTCTCTTTTCCACGATAAGACTTTAAGATCTTATCATTAAGGTAAGTTTTACTTATGATTTAAACTGACATTTTTGCATTTTCTTGTCTCTTTCCAAAAAAAATAATAATATTATAGTATTTAAGATGAGAATAAGTTAAAATTTAAAAATACATATATATTTAAATTAAAATTCAAAGAAGTATATAACAGCACCAGTGGTCTAGTGGTAGAATAGTACCCTGCCACGGTACAGACCCGGGTTCGATTCCCGGCTGGTGCATGTTAACTTTTCAATGGAATTTTTATCAACAGAACCTTTGCATATTTTTTTACAATGTACTAACATTTAGGAGTCATGTAATAGGAGATTCAAAGAAAGCATCAACATATTTTAGTACCATTAAATCCATGTTATATTGTAAAACCTTTAGGTTTTGTATGAACATATAATAAAGTTAATATTATAGAAATCATCAATTTTGGATGTACCATATAATTTTACCTTATTATTATGAAAAAGGAGTCATCTCATCCATATTTTCTCTAACAAAGGAAACTATAAGTCTTCATATTTTCACTTAAGTTGCATGTTAAGATTTTTTTCCTGAGGTTTTGAATTATATTTATTGAGTCTGTTTAGTTCAGTTATTTATTGAGTCTGTTTAGTTCAATTGTTTATTGAGTCAGTTAAAGTCAGGTAGAGATTTATTTAATATTAAAAATCTAAGTCTTGATAGACCCTAGGTGGAACTTTATAAATAGTGATGTAACATTTTCTTTTAATCAATCAATCAATGAAATATTATTCTTATGACAAACCCTAAGTGGTCGATCCTCTCGAAACGATTATTCTCATTCCATTTTCTTTCTTTTCTTCTACGATAAGATTTTAGGGTTTTATCATTGCACTAATCATTGAGCTAAGTTTTACTTGTGATTTAAACTTACATTTTTGCATTTCCTTCTCTTTCCCAAAAAAATAATATTATAGTATTTAAGATGAAAACAAGTTAAAATTTACAAATACATATATAATTTAATTAAAATTCAAAGAAGTGTATTAAAGCACCAGTGGTCTAGTGGTAGAATAGTACCCTGCCACGGTACAGACCCGGGTTCTATTCCCGGCTGGTGCATGTTAACCTTTCAATGGAGTTTTTATCAACAGAACCTTTGCATATTTAAGTTTTACAATGTACAAACATTTAGGGAGTCATGTAATAGGAGATTCAAAGAAAGCATCAACATATTTTAGTCCCTAAAACCAACACAAGCTGAAAAGATTATTCCTGAAATCAACACAAACTGTGCATATAGATGAGTTCTTCAATCATTTAGGTGGGTGAGATTCACATACAGAATCAACAATTTTTTCTAACCAAAACCAACATAAACTATGCATAACTAAGTTTCCGCCAATTTAGCTCTGGTACCGCTAACTTTGTAATATTTCACTCATAGTTTCATTCATGCCATACATGCTAGGTTAAGATAGGATGTCTTTTTTTTATTTATTTATATTACTGCTATCGATAGAAATGTAACGAAAATAGATAATCTTAAGATTAAAATATATTAATTATTAAACAAAATGATAACGTTGCTCATGTACATAATATTTTTGATACTCGTACATAAAATCCAAACATAAAATTTTTAAAATATATACACACATAACATATCCAAAAATTTTTACTTATCAAAAAAAAAAATCCAAAAGTTATATATATAAAATGTTCATATGTTATCGTCATTTACATGGGCTTACACGTATTCATTTCCCAACCCAATCACTTGAGTGAAGTACTAGTATCCTTACTTATAAAATAGGATCTTTAGTAAGTAATCACTTAATAAATATAAGCCTTTATAGTTTTATTCAAGTGAGCATACATCATGTCATGTATACCATATTTCAAAATCATCGTCATAAGATAATTAACAATAAACACTTTATCCTATGATTTTTTTAGCAAGCATAACCCTACACATAGTATCTGCACAATAAAAACATAATATTCTACGTCGAAATAATTTAGAATGCTTATATGCATATTTAAGAAATATAATAAATTTATGTACATATCATATATATATATATATATATATATATATATATATATATATATATATATATATATATATATATATATATATATATATATATATATATACACTCTCATATTGCACATCATAAAATATACATGCACTCCCACATCGTATGTCATGATATATACACGTAGTCGAACACCACACGTTATAGCAAATACATGCATTGCACGTCATAATATATTTGTGCACTCTTACACGACACATCATCATATATGTATGCATGCAAGATATTTTTATCATAATTTATGTATTTTTATGTTTATAAAATATATATTTATATTTAGCTCATGATTATCTTATGATGATCATATCAGTCGAAACATGCTCTCCAAAATAACTTATGCATACGATAATTTATATAACCACTATTTTATAGTGATTTAAATTTATACTTACCTGATTGAACAAAAAAATAAAGATGCCAATGAAAGACTATATTTCTTAATGATCGAGTATACTAGGGAATGATACACCTATTAAATTGGGAGCATAGGGTCATGAGATACGTTAATTAAGAACCCTATAAAAGTGTTGATTTATAATAAATCATTACAATAATCCATAAAAAAAAATTAATAAAATCTCTCATTAATAAACTATACTTAAGTTCAAATTTTATCTAGATTTCACGACTAATTTTTCAATAATTTATTTTAAAATCAAATAAACTAACCAGCATCAATCAAACCATCATACAACAATCAAACCAAACTATCTTGAATTATCATTAAATTTTATAAAAAGATAGGAGATATATAAACTAAATACAGACCAAATTTTAGCTTAAAATAGAATCATTTAGAGGCTAAACTACCCTCTTGATTTAACTATCAACACCTATTTTATTTTGTTGAAATTGGATTGGGATTGTTTGGACTTATAAATCTCATATCTTAGTGTAGAGAGGTGGTATTCACTCAAACTAAATCTCACATATCCTAAGAAATCTTTTAAAATATAGTAAAAGGCTAGAGTCTAATCATATATCTAAGGGGTTAATTTAGCTTGAACATAATCCCTTCTTAGAAAATAAGATATTTTGAGTACCTCATATTAACATAATAATAACTCTAAAGTTATACTAGAGATCTTAGAAACATAAGATAATCATCCAAAATATATTCAAAAATTACATATAAATTTGAATTCTAGGTTACTCAAAAGTAGTTGAAAAAATTAATTTATAATTTATAAAAGTGAAACCCTAGGTATAGCAAGAGAGATTTTTTTTTTTTTTTTTTTATCTCAATCTTCGTTAGAGCTGGGGTTTCATGGCCTCCTTGAAAGAAGCTAAGAGAATACTGAAAAAAAAGAAAAAGTTATGGGTTATCAGGTTGATAAAGAGGATGAGGCCAAATTAAGTTGTTTAAAAGGTGGCCTTAAGGTCTTGGATTCAATACCATTATGCCTCATTTCAACTTTTCCTTTTCTTTTATTTTTTTACTAAAATAATTTAACTGTTGCAACAACCTTAATTGAGTTTAATTTGGTTTAACAAAAATAATATTTTTATCTAAACTCATCATTCAATCTCACTTAAGTATCTCAATATTTAGTGTAACACTCCTATTTGATTTACATCATCATTTAATTTTTTTTTATTATTTCATCCATGACTAAATAATTGATGATCCTTTATATATATGAGGCTTAAAACTTAAATTTTATTATTTTAATTATATTTAAACTTATTCAAGTCGACCGATTAAAATTCAACCTTAATTTCTAGTCACTATATGCATGCTTATTACTATAACTTAACTTCATATTCAAGTCTACTAACACATTTTAACTTGTTGCACTAGAATGTAAAAATTAATACTTATACATACTCAACCAATATTTTATAGAATATTAAAAATAATATTTTTGACAAACATGTACTTTGATGTTATGAGTTAAAAATATGAACATATCATTTATCGTATTCATGAATTTTTTAAACATCACAAAATGTATTTCCTTTTTCCTTTTCTTTCTCAAGATCAAACATATTTAGACAAGGCAAGCATCGAGGGAGTGAAATGTGAACACTTCATAAGCTTTATTGATTCAGCCAACAACAAATGCTATTTTCAATCACAAATTTTGTTGCAATCTTGAAAACAAAGGAGAAGCACCACATACTGAACAAGGGAGTTTGTTGCTCTTAGGTGGCGGTAGCTTCGTAGCCCACAATGCCTCTTGTCATGTAAAAGCTACTTAAAACTTGTCTACAGAAACACCATTCCTGACTACTTCATATGCATCTCGGCTCCGGGTTTTCTTCAGTCCAGTGGCAAAATGGACCTTGGTTCCTTCAGTGGACACACAACTTACTTTGACCCAAATCAAGACCTTAGTCTTAATTCCCTCGATATCAGCCAGCTTTCCCTTCTCCAAGTACCCAGTCACTGTGGTGAAGAAACGCAAGACCGATGAATCCTTGTACCCGACTTCACATACAGATGGTATGAATACAGCAAGCTTCCCTGTCTCTTCATTGAACTCATAGTTGGTGGCGTCCTCCGGGAAGAGGCCTATTGGCATATCGTACTCCTTTAGTAGTTCAGCCAATGGTTTCTGCATCTTTCCTGGGACACAATTTTTTCCAATTAGTAGTACAATAAGATGTGAGGGAGCATCCAAACACTTGTTACATGATATGCAATTTAAGATGAGAAACAAAAGAAAAGGTCATAACTTATGAATTCCATATTAGTTAATGAAGAAGGAAAGATTTTCAATAGAACATTTTGTTTTTCTTCTCTAGATAAAATCAGTTAAATGCAAGGACAAGCTTGTCACCTCCATCAAATATCAAAAGGACAAGGAATACATGTATCTCTTCTAGCTCGTGACTTATTAACATGATGAAGGCCAGTATGATAATTATCTAAAATTATAGGAAGTTGATTATCTGTGATGTTGTAAGGATGCATGTTTTCTCTGCTGTTCTCCTCATGAACACAGCAAAAATGACTGAGGAACCAAAAAGTAATGGGTGTCAGTTAAAAGATATGAACCCATTTAGACCGGAACTGCACTTTGAAGAATGTGACTTACTTTCTTTAGTGTTTTAAGGTCACAGATGTCTGCTTGGTGCATAGGCTACTATGTGTGCCGTAAACCAGATGTAGAATGCCAATGTTGTGATCTTCCTTGATCACCATATTATGCACATTCAATTATCTAATGTAAATAGTGAAAATATGTGTTTGCAGAATGAATTGTTATAAATAAGTTAAGCTAGGGCATAATGGAAAAAGTATGATACTTGTATTTATGATACATAAATATATCTTCAAATAATGTAGATGTTCATCATCATCCAATAGCAAAAGCATTTCAGAGCAAGGATTTAAATATTTGATGGATTGGTTACTGATATATTCCAACCAATATTTATCAGTCTAACCAAGTACCAGTATTGAAATGTATGGCTTGATACAAGTACAATACCACCAAAGGAACAACATCTCAGTATGATGAAGATCGTGATGAAAAAGAAAAATCATTGTAGTACAACCTATTCACAATCAGAATATGAATAACTAAAAGAACAACATCTCACTATGATGAAAATAGTCAAATGAATGCATGTGACATCTTATGGAAAGGCTCATTCTTCATCGGTTACTTCAGAATCAGAATGAGATCAATCTAGATTAACAAGAAGAGGACATTTGAAAATCGAGTAAGCATTGATTTCATTTTCCAAGAAAAACTTAAAAAGTAAATAAATAATGTCAATAGAATGGAGCAGAGGAAAATTGGAGATCATATATGCACCTTTGATTTTGTTGACTAGCCATTTTGCTCCTCCTTCGATGCTGTTGGAAAGTGACTGATAATAAAAAGCAATATCATCACCATGAGGGAAAATATGGTTTGCACAAATATGCATCAATTCAAATAGATCAAGTTTTATATGCATATAAACATTCCAAATTTATATTTTTTAATGCATAACCTTCAACTTGAGCTCCTAAATTCCACATATGGTCACAGAGCTACACAGAATTACCCATCTACAAATAATTACTTCAGTCCTCTTATTGACAGAACTAAATTTGGAAGTCGAATAATGCACAAAATGCATGTTTACCTTGCTAAATCTTGACTACTATACACCATTTTGAAAATGACAATTTCTAATAAGAGTATCATTTCACGAATTCTGCTCTCCAAAACACTTGTCATTGGACATCTACTGATCCTAATGATCAATGCGGCTTCCAAATTCAATGACCCGTAACATAAGCATTCAAAATAATTCATTATTCAATATATATGAGATTAATAAAGAGCTCCCAGCAAACAAATCCATGGCAACACAATATGGGTTACCAAAATCAGAATCTTTATACAGTTACCACGCAAGATCGGCCACAATTCACCTTCCAATTCAACATTAGGCATCGAGATTTCAACTTAAAAGGTCAACCCCAATCATCGCCTAAAAATAAAATCGATATCGAGTGCGAGACGGCAAATCGAACCAATGCAGTTATTGTACAACAGAAGAAAGCAATGAGCAACTGCGTCAAACATCGGATCCAATTTAAAGATTCTAGGGATGGCGCATAGACGAAAAGCTTACATTGATGTCGTCACCGACGGAGGAGATCTCTTTGCCGGCTTTCTTGCTGAACCAGTAGGTTCCGGCCTTGTTCATTATCTGATCCATCTCCCCTGCCCCTCTCTCTCTCACCCACTCTCGTGGAATCGAGATCCCAATTCCCTTTCTTCGTCGTCTGCGTAAGAAGAATACGAGGGGGAAGAGGGATAGGACTCCTCTCTGTTTCCTTCCCGTATTATTTGTCGTGTATGTCGATTTCCATCCGCATAAAAAGGTTCCGATTGAACCTGTCCAACAATATTTGAACCGGAGCAGACTCGAACCAGAATCGAACCGGTAAGACAATATATATATATATAAGGGCACATGTAAAAACTAACAATTAATATAGACCGCACTTCCGTGGGCCGGTGTAAACCGTTTCCCGTTGAACCCGGTCGAACCAGCCCAAGAAATATGATTATTGCCTAGAAGGTCAAATCAAAGTGGGAGAGTTCGCAGAGCCATCGAGTCCGGCCGACGGCGAAGGTTCTTCATCTCTTCCGACGATCTTTTCCCGGATCAGATTCGCCTAATTCTCAATATTTCCTCAATAGATCCGTAGGGTTCGTTTACATTTTGGTTTAATTTACTGTCTTCTTACCTATCTGTTGTTCCTCCGTGAGTCTTACGGAAGATTTTGTTTCATCTTCCCAGATCAAGATCATGCCTTCTCTTGCTGACTCCAGCATCCATGGGTTTTAATTTGATGCAAACTTGTTGTCGTCTACCTGTTGGAAGGTAAGTCTTGGATTAATTTTGTGCCTTTTATGCTTAGTAAAGCGGATTTCCATGTACGAATTGTTACTTGGTATGAATGTAGAGATCATCATTTCAATCGCGAACTAATTGAAAGTTTTTGTTCTTCATGTACTTCAAGTAGGAATTATGAATTCGATGTTTAGTGCTCCCACATGGTTGTCAAGCAGTGTAGATGTTCCACCCACATGCTATTTGAGGGTAGGCCTTGCGACCTGGGAGACCAAGTTCGAGTCTGAGAAATAGCCTCTGTAAATATAGTGGTAAGGTTGCGGACCATCTCCAGACCCGTATGGACGGGAGCCTTGGTTCACCCTTTTTAAGTGTTTATTTGCCACTGAAAATACCAAGGTAGAGAGGGCACATGAGTTACTTGTCAAAATTAGCATGCTATATCCTTTGAATTATTTATATTGAATAACAATGATCTTATATACCAAAACTCTGGACATTAAGGTGGAAGATATTCCAAATACAGAAACACAAAATTTCCGGAGAACCGAGAGCTGATATACACCAAGAATAGTTATTCACTGTTAATTGATGAAGCTGGAGAGTGCTCTGATACTTTTTGCTGGCAATGATGTGGTGAGAGCTTTGTGTTCGTAGCAGTCATCTTAGTTGGTGACATGGGGAGTGTTTTCTGAATGGCATGTGTATATATGTACAGTTTCTATATTAGTTTCTGTGCATTGCATTTTCAAGAATAAGAAGCCATCTACAAATTTTCTTCTTAAGCATGGTTACTGGGCATGTAAATCACATACAAATTTTATTTTACCCTTGTATATTTTATATTAGAAACCACAAACCTCAGAGCTGAAATATGCTGCTTAGGTCTTTAATTTAACATTAAATATGTCATCACCTTGTTTTTAACATCCTTACTCTACATTTATCTTTTATATTCTATATATTAATGCTCTTATTTAGTTCTACCTGCTTTCCAAATGAAAATGCAATATTTTTATAGGAAATTATAAGATCAACCATTATTTAGTTATAAAGACAGGATCTTTAGGATTTTATATGTAGGAGTCAGCCACTATAAATTAGTATCTTGAATCTGTTCCATATTAAAAATATTTTGCACGATTGATAATCTCAATCGAAAGGAAGGGAAGGAAAAGATGACCAAAAATATGTATTTCAATAAAAATATTCATGGATTTCATTTGATCATATCACTTCTAACAGTGATCAGCAATATGATCACCATCCAGAGAACATGACACTTGGAACGGATGTCTTCAGCCAATCTTGTGCCCTTTATTTGTCTTGAGCTTCCATTCTCAGTAAAATGGATTTTCATACATCAATCATTTAGTAGTAGAGCACTGATGATTATGAACTTAGTATGACCAGAGAGTTCAGCATTTCAATCACTAATTGGTCATGAGGCTGGTTTATGAAAGTTGGATGTGTGCTAATAGCTTAGTTTTATATGGTTTCTTTCATTGGAGAGTTGTAGAGCTGCCATTGCTGAACCGCCAATTGCGGAGTTAAGCCTGCCGCAGCTATTGTAGTGCACTGTTGCAGCATTACCGAGTCACCAATTACGAGTTCAGCCTGCGGAACTCATTAACTGCTGAGTTCAGCTTGCCAAACCAGTTATAGATCAGCTGCTGTTGCAGCATTGCCGACAAGTTCAGCTTGCCAAACTCATCGACTGCTGAGTTCAGCTTGCCAAACTTGTTGTAGAGCTGTTGTTGCATGTGGTGCAGCTTTGCCGAGTCACCAATTGCGAGTTCAGCTTGCCGAACTCATTGACTGTCGAGTTCAGCTTGCCGAACTTGTTTTAGATCAGCTGCTGTTGCAACGTTGCTGACAAGTGCAGCTTGCCGAACTTGTCATAGAGCTGCTGTTGCATGTAGTGCAGTATTGCCAAACCCATTGATTGCCGAGTTCGGCTTGCCAAAGCCATTGTGGTGTGCCCTCCTAGTGCCATTCTGTTAGTGTAGAATTTGGTTGCTTGATTTGGATGCAGATTTGGAGCCAACTGATGTTCCTTCCACATCTATCATAGTTCAATCTCGGCCGACATCACTCTTGTCTGACCTTGAGGGTACTGAACCCATCGAACTCCGATGAGGTCAAACCTTGCCGACTCCAAAGAGATCGAACCCTACCGACCTCGAAGAGGCCGAATCCTGCTGACTCTAAAGAGGCCGAATCCTGCCGACTCCTAAGAGGCTAAACCCTTCACAACTACATTCGGAGGCATTCTCAACTAAGGCCCCTTCGAAGCTTAAGTTAGTTTTGAGTTTAGAAGATTCGGTCAATGACTTAAATAGCATTGGGAAAAAGTGTTCGGAAGCATACCTTGAGAGCTCTTTTATAGTGGGATCTTTGGACAGTTACTCCTGTGATCAACACTAATTACAAAGGGTTGTTGCTGAGGTGTCGGTCATGTGTCGACCACATGTTGGTCACATGCTGACCACATGTTAGTCATGTAGTGATAGCCACGTGGCACTGAGGTGGTAGCCACATGGCACCGATGTGGCATCCATGAGGCGGTGGGTGGTATCCATGTGACACTAAGGTAGTAATCACATAGTGCTGATGTGGTAGTCACTTGGCTCTAATGTGGCACCAACGTGGCGGTGAGTGACGTCCATGTGGTGCTGACGTGGTAGCCACATGGCAGTGATGTGGCATCCACATGGCATTGAGGTGGCAGCCACATCATCCATGCCATTTTTCCCATAACAGATAGTTTTGCAGCTTAATATGAATATTCTCTTGTTGCCCCAGATAGTTATTTTCATCCATTTTGTTTCTTCATCCAATTTTATAGTTTATTATTCTCCTGCATTATCGATCAACCTTATTCTATGAGCCTTTTCTGCACATGATTCAGAATCTGTATTTCATATATATATATATATATATATATATATATATATATATATATATATATATATATATATATATATCCTTGTGGAAAGTTTCAGACAAAGAAATATATTCGAGGCTAAGTACCGATATCTGACAGCATGTAGTTAATCAATGTGGTTAGGACAGTTATTTTCAGTTACCTTGAACTCTTACCAGGTAAAAGCGGTGCTTATAATCCTATTGAATGTCTGTCTGTTGAATGAGCATATAATACCAAGTTCCAATGCCACAATATGCCAACAAATGTAGACAGATGCATTTGGTTGTCATACATCTAAATCTAGACAAAACTATTAATTTGTAACAATATGATCCCAAGAAATTTTTAAAAAAATCACGATATATTATAAAGACTAATGACTGGAGTGGGGAATAGACGTTTTCTTGCGTGTTATTTGTAAATCATGGATACTATGATGCACATATGTTTTCTGAAAGTGGGTACAGATGCATGCATGTTGCTAAAGTAAGCAGAAACTTTAATATGTTTTTTTGAAGTATTACATCTATAAATTTATGTCTCTCATGAAGGCCGACGGAGACATCTTTTGTCCCAAGAGAGAGGCTTTTGAAGCATCAGCAATATTTCCAGAGTGTTCAGAAACATACATACTTGAAAGAGTGATACGACAGGAAACTTTTTCTTTTTGGGTAAGCTTGTTGTAGGGATGATAGCCCGTGCAGAACTCAGTAATTTGATGTTTGACTGAATCTTGTTCTTGAAGTGTTGCTGTTAAACATCTTTGATAACAGGTAACATATTTTGATCTTTGCAAGTGTTTTGCATCGAAAATATTACACTAATGCTTGACTCATCAGTAAGCCAGGCAAAAGCTGTGTGCAACAGGAGAGTGACCATGATGCTGCATGGTGCAAAAGTAATGCTAAAGAGAAATGCCACTGCAGTTTTGAAGAACTTGTATTATGGGCTTTCGCTGTCCTTGTAATAGGTTCTAAGCTTCAGGTTAAAGGAGTTTGCCACGATCCGGTACTAGCAAAATATGGCAGACATGCTTCCTTTTTCTTGAGCTCCCTTTGTTAGCTGGGTCAGGTAAGCTTTTTCAGGCTTGATGCATCTCTTGAAGTATCTAGATTGTTGGAAATTTCCACCAGATCTTCAACCTTCGAACATGTGAGTTTGCATCGATATTTTGCTAGATTTTATATATCCTAAAGAGTGAAACAAAATTTGGTTGGTGTATCAATATGCAGGTTTGTTTGAAATTCCAGCTCCCACAAAGAAATCTATTGCTGATAGAAGCAGCATCTTTCTCCTCTTGTTTTGGAGTCCCTAATTATGCCCGTTTAATGACGATATCTAATTTGAAATACTACAATTTGTGTATTTTACTATTTGTGTTCCATCGATTGAATTCAGTCAGCAATGCTGTCACTGGCATTAGAAAATTAAAATATCTTTATCCCATATGCAAGGCTACATTAACAGTTTGATTATAGGTTGGTCTTGTTAATGTTTAGCATTGCACTCATAAACTGTAATTATTATCTTGTCGTCTTTATTTATGATTTATGATTTTCATATTATAATTAATCAAAAAGATGTGATGTAGGAAGAGATCGCAATTTATTTTTACAATAAAGTAATGAAAGTAGAGATTTTGTGATAATAAAAGAACAAAAAGAGAGAAAAGATAATAATAAGAAGATAAAAATATAGTTTTATATTACTAACACATATTAGTTTATTGATTTATTCTTAAACGATCTTTTATTACAATATTTTTTACATATTTTTATAGGATGAAGATAAGTTGGCTAATTACTATATTTGCTTTGGCTCAAGAAGAGAATACCATTAGCACAAGAAAACAATTCATTCTATCACATGATGCATTCTATAATGATCCTCATTATTTTGATAGGCATCAAGTACAAGGGAAAAATAAAAGAGAAAAACTCAATAAAAAAAAGAATATAAATATATTTAGGCTAATCGGATAATTAATATTGTGTCTTCTTTGGAAAAGATAATTTCCATATTCATCTTATCAAATAATCTTCCTTTTTTCTTCATTATAATCAATATAGGAAACTAACTTAGAATTTTATCTAAATAAAAATAATTGAAGATCATTTTTAAGTGATAGAAATTTCAAGATCGATGAGATCCGCGTAGACGATGGTGGGAAGTTGAATTGACATAGTATGCGAAATTAATTGGGAAGGTTTTGTACAAGACGTGCAAGAATGGATTTTGTGATGGCCAATTCATACGGATAAAAGAAGCAATTGTGTTTCATCATATTAAGTACAATGTCATTACTATTTTCTTAATGTTCCTCTGTGGCTACAAGATTGCTTGTAACTTAAGCTATACTAAAATATTAGATGCATTATGTGCATATTTCCAATGGCAAGAGTATACAATTAAAGTGAATATAAATTTCTTTTCCTTGCAATTTAAGCATGGGCTTTCCATTAATTGAATCGGTCAAAATTAGGTTACGAAGGTCAACATTAAGTGATGAGAGAAAGAGTATAAGACTTGACCCGCACGCTTGCGGCGCAAGTGTCCTCTTCGGAAACGGAAGCCGCGGGAGTCTTCGCGAGCAAGAAAGCCACGCACCTTCGCTGAATCCCCGCGCGCCGCGTGTTCGACAGCTGTCGCGACACGTCATCCTTTGATACCCTCGCGGAAGCCTCTCGTCTTCTATATAAGTATCTTCGTCCCCGAACCCCCACGCCTCTCGGAGCGCGCGAGCATGGCGATGGAACAGGAAAGGTAACAATCGCGATCACTTCCTCCGCGTGTGTTCTTCTGCATCATCTCTTATCTTGCGGAATCTTTTGTCGTTGTTTCTTTTTGTAATCTGGGTTTATGCATCTGGTACTGGTTTCGATGATTTGTTTGGTTGATGGAAGGGCAAAAGCGCTTCCTTTGATCGAGTGATGGTGATTTTTCCTTTTGATCTATGAGTTCACCGAATGTTACATTAGCTAAAGAGGAGGATGGTGTCATTGCTCCAAGATGAGATGGATGGAGGCGTACTGTGGTAAATGGTAATTGGAGGGAAGAAAATTAACGGAGCAGAGAGCAACAGGAAGGAGATCCGACTTAAGCTTTCTTGTAGATGTAGGCCAGCGGATGTGCCCGCTAGGTGGCTGACGAAATGGCCGTCGACCAATGTTGCGGTCTAGGCGCGCGGAGCGGTGGTGTCAGACATGTCATGAGCAGAATGCTCCTTAGATAGATGGATTTGGCCTTGTGTTTAGCAAGTGGTTAGGTGATGGCTAAACGTCCACGATCCTCCATCAGCAGATGATCTCCAGATCATTTGTGTGTCAAAGCTTATTCGATATTTCTCTGTTCTAGTGTTGATTGTGAAGATATATTGGGGGTCTCGGTACATGTTGGGTTGTTGATATAAAATGCAGTTGAATTGATGTGAAAAATGGAGAAGCTTGACAGATTTATCAGTTGTGACTCGATGATTATTTTACAGAACTGAATAGTGTTTGGGCTAGGAAAACAGGATCAACATATAGAGTTTAAAGAAAAAAAAATCTCATCTAAAATCTTAATAATGAGTGAGAATGTGATGATGGTGTCCAATCTGTTCATAAGTTCTTGTCTCAACCGAAGTTCCTCTTAGATTTGTTTTTATGTTAGATATACTCTAATCAGGAGGTGCCTCTTCATGTTTGTCACCTGATTAAAATTTGTTTGTTTCATCCACTCGTACCACAGGATCTTTTTAATTCTGAACTCTATTCCTTCTTCCATTATGGTCTCAATAGGAGAAACTCGGCCAGAGTGCTGTAGTTACATTGTTTTGGCTACTGATTTGAATTTAATATCTTTGTAATAATAGTTATTATTTCTATGCTTCTCTGTTCTTATTAGAGAAGGAATGCATTTATCGACGATCAAACTAAACCGAACCATGCATGAATATCTTCATATACCTTATAACATTTGCTCGTAGTGATATATGGAACAGCTTTCTGTTCTCGGTGTCAAATTATTCTGTGTTCTTCCATTAATATATTATTCTGGAGAATTAAATTGTTCTTTTTTTCCTTTTCTTTAAGGAAAAAGCGACAACCACGAAGGGGGCATGATGGTCCCAATTCTGTGGCAGAAACTATTGCTCGATGGAGAGAGCACAACGGTCAACTGGATGCCGATAATTGTGTCCGTCGAGCACCGGCAAAAGGTTCAAAGAAAGGTTGTATGAAAGGCAAAGGAGGTCCAGATAATCCAAACTGCCAATACCGTGGTGTCAGGCAGCGAACATGGGGCAAATGGGTCGCTGAGATCCGAGAACCCAATCGTGGTAATCGACTGTGGTTAGGCACCTTCCCAACTGCGCTGGAAGCTGCTGTTGCTTATGACGAAGCTGCAAGAGCTATGTATGGACCTTATGCCCGTCTCAACTTGCCCGAACGTTATGGTGATAGTCAACTTGGTGCAACTAATGGATCATGCGAATCCTGCATGACGTCGCATCAGTCTCATTCGGATGTCGGTATTTCAAGCTCAGGGGAAACCGAGGTGATACCAAAAATCGAGAAGACGGATGAGCGGGACAATGGACTATCATCATCAGGCAATCACAAGATTGAGCATTCTCAACCTGGATATTGGAATGAGGATTTCCCTATAGATGAAATTTTCTTGGAAGCATTGTTAGAGGGGATGGATGCTGATTGCACCGGTACTTATCACCAAATTGGCATGGGTGACGGTGATGCTTATCAGCGACGCGGTGATGTCTCGGATTTCCCATTCCACCCTCAGAACGCCGACGCCGAGATGCTTGGGGCTTTCCCTCACATAGATGAAGGCCTAAATGGTTTTGATCCCGATGACTATTTCTTATGGCCTATCGAAGGAGACTAAGAATGTGGATTGGCTGAGGAGTGAAAGTTACTCTGGAGCTCTTCAAAGAAGGATTTCAGCTTTGACATTCTTACTTGCAGAGTTCACTCTGTGGGTGGCATATGCATGCGTTAGCATTAGTCCACCCTTCTGGTGATATACTTTCTATGTATAGTAGAATGACACTATTTTGGATATAGTTCATTGAAGCTGGCTGGTTCTCCATAGGTTTGGAAATGAGGGAACAAAGCTTCATCCTCTAGTTTTGCTGACCTGTTCATATCCCTTCCCTTTACCTTGAAACCTTATCCTTGTTAGAGATATCAAAGAGGATCAAACATGAAAGTGTAAAGCATTTGCTGTTTTTAGAACTTCAGAATATCATGTGCATATTTGAGGATGTTGTTAATATTAAGAGTTCTGATCTGCTTGTCTCTCATTATTCTATATAATGATCTGATATACTATTGAAATTGTAGTGGTGATTGTACAACTATTTATGCAAGAGATGAAAATTCTGTTGTAACATCAAGTAAACTTTGAGCTTGATAATACTTCCATCACTTTGATAAAATAAGCTTAATAATAGGAATGAATTTTATTACATCGATTGGATGATTTCAGTTCAAGATTCTTTGCACAATGACTAAACAGTCGTTCCTTCTTTGTACAACTATTTTTATTCTTTTGTGAGCAACTCGAATCTTTTTGAAGTTTCCTGCTGCTGTATTCTCTTTTGCATTGTATCTTTTTCCACAAGAAAGATGAGTGTGGCCGAAGTCATAGCTACCAATTTTCTCTTTGGAGCTTGTCATGGCTAAGGGAATTAATTACTTGTATTCCCTGAATCTTACAGAATTATTTTAATGACATCTACTTTCTGTTTAACTCTCTTAATGTTCTAAACATCTCATAGGTATTTTTTGCTTTCTGCCATTGATCCTTTTGCATTGCAGTTTGTAACTCAACGTTAAATCACTATAATTTTTTTTTTCTGTTCAAAATAAAATAAAAATATATGATATATGCTCGATCAACCTTTTTAAAATTTTTAGACACTATCATTATCATCCTGAAGATAATGATAGTATTACTTACGTAAATTCGTAACAATTACGAAGTGTCACAGAGTAATCTCATATTTACGTAAATTCGTAACAATTACGGCCGTAAGATTTTTTGAGTTGGACCGTCGTAATACCTTAAATATGTGTCAGTAATTATCTTAACGAGTCAGGACTTAAGTCATCACCTGAGTCGTGACTTAAGTCACGCATGAGGCGCTCTCCGTTAGATTGGGCTCCCGTGGTAGCTTCCTCACATGGCCGTCCCCCTCCCACCAGCCATCAATGATTCCTCCGCTTCGTTTCTCTGCTCGCCATCTTTGTTTACTCCTCTCCTCCCTCGTCACCAACTCAACTCCACGCAGTACACCAGTCAACAGTGATGAGTTCGCCCTGACAACCCACTATCGTCTCTATATATTTATACTCAGCCTGCTCCGGAAGTCGAGCGAACCAACATGCCTTCACGTAGCATGAGGAAGCATCACGTTGACGAACTTACAACTTCCCACGTCTGATTCATGGAGATTTCTGCAGGAGCACGCCATTAATTATCTGTGCAGGAAAGGAACCTTGTTCCAGTCTCTGTGTTTGGTGGTCCAAAGTGTTGCCTTAACAACCTTTGCTTATAGAATTTGCTTGAGACTCACTCCATCTCTTTTCTAAAGCCAAACTCCCCCACCACCACCACCACCACCACCACCACCACCACCACCACAAAGCACCACATAGCCATAGTTATTGGAAATAATAATTAACTCTAACTTTCATTAAAATAATAAAATAAGTTCAAAAAATAAAAATAAAAATAGAGAGCAGTGCAAATGTCATTCAAGTGTTGGAGAATAAATATGTTCCAACAGTAGCATATATGGTGGATCACCATCTCTCCGTCGTTCCAGATCAGCTCACAGCAGTACAAGACATGCCGGCCAAGCTTCCGTGGTCTCTCCTCGCCGTCATGGCGCTCCTCCTGGGGAGCACAGGCGTGTTCCCAGCGGCGGCGGCGGCGGTGGCGGGCGAGGCGGGGAGGAAGGTGATAGTGGCGGTGGAGGGGTTGGTCAGCTGCCAGGACTGCGCCAGCGTGGGGACGTGGGAGCTTGCCGGCTCCAGACGGCTACCGGCGGCCAGGGTGGGCATCACCTGCAAGGACCACAGGGGGCGGGTGGTGCTGTACAGGGCGGCGACGGCGGACGACAACGGGTACGTGTTCGCTGAGCTGTACACCACCACCATGCGCGGCGGCTACTTCGACCCGGCGGAGTCCTGCGCCGTGCGCCTCCTGGTGTCGCCCGACGACCGCTGCAGCAGCGTCACCGACGTCAACGGCGGCGACCGGGGGACGCCGCTGCGCTATCAGAACACCACCATCCCGGGGCAGTACGCCGACCTCGACGTGTATGTGGCGGGGCCGCTGGCCTTCAAGCCGGCCTACTGTCCCCCAAAGACGACTTAATCCTGAGATTGGGGTTGGATTTTTCTGTCTGCTGAATTCTTTGGATCAAACGAATTGTTGAGATCGATGTCTAACTTCAAATGGCAAATGGTGTTGTTTTCCTTCTCTCCGTCCCACAAAGTTATCGTTCATCCATTCTTATGATTCAAATATACTCCAATTAAATGTGTGATTTATATTTCATCATCAGATCTGATATGCATATTTACTCTTATTTCCATCTCTTATTAGTCTCTACCATTAAAATAATACTTTCCTGAAATAATCAATCTATTGGAAATTTTAAGTAGGATCAAATTATTCTTTTTCATATATATATATATATATATATATATATATATATATATATATATATATATACTTAGATACCTCCACAATACTTTCTCGTGATTTGAACACAAAAAAGTTACCGTGATGGGGTCAACATGTTCATAAGCGGTCAAATGAGATTAAAATAATCATATGATGGCATGATTCAAAAGTGACAAGCTTATCTCTTGTAAATATATTAAGATAAATTCTTCTTTTTATATACTCCTAAGAAGGAAATGCTTTTGGCCCACATCACAAAAAATTGAAAGCTCAGGTTGGAACACCACTAAATGCCAAATGGATCAAGTCTAAAATAAAGAAAAATGATGGAATATATTGATGTGCGTGAATGTTTATAAATTATATATTAGAAATTAATTATTTGTTCTAATTAGAGAAGAGTTTCTAAAAAAGATGATTAATATATATATATATATATATATATATATTATAATCATAGATAAAGGATGATAGAGTAGAAAAACATAAGACACTTGAAGACTAACAATCTCTATAACTTACAGTCTTTCAAATCTCTAATCATCTCTTCTCTTGAATCTAATGCATTATATTAACCTCTTATTTATAGAAGAGTTAACCCAAATATTTAACTTCAACTAAGACAAAGAATCATATCGTAATTAATATATTTACTATATTTTATTTAATCATAATGTCTAATTTAATATTCCATGAATGACATATAATGGGATTGATAAAATGTATTCTAAGATGAAAATATATATCGGAATGAAGATAGTCATATATGATTGAAAGTATGGAATAATATATACTGAAATTAACTTATAGTACATAAACTTAGTAGTCACATTATCCAATCACACATATTGCACACTCAACTCAATTGGTTAAGGATATACTCAACAATTTGTGAAGAGCAGCAGCTCGAGGAAGACTCCCACATATTGCACATGTGGACAATAGGCGCCACGTCAATACTTGACCTATGCTTATGTGGGCGATTAGTCGATGTCAGATTAGTGCTCATGTCATCGGCAAGATGACAAGTTAGTATTAGATTACAAATGCTATGGACAAATAAACGAATGATATATGATGTTTTAGATATCGTCTCCGGTATAAGTTTTAGATATCTATAATAAACGAACGATGAACAAATTATGATGTTTTGTATAAGAGTGCAACACTTAAGTAAATCATCAAACATTTGGAAAATAAAGAAAATAAAAAATTAAAAAAATAGTCTTAAGTTAAGCTATGATATTCCTAATCTTCGAAATGGATTCAGTTTGCCTAAAGCTTCTTTAATCATATATAATTATGATTATCTCATCGTAAATAAGGATATTCTTGACACTAGCTCTTAATTCTAGAGTTGCATTTTCTTCCACTAGTAGTTAGAGAGGTAGATAAAACTCGAAAATCAAAAGAATATATAATGATCTAATATAACAAAAATATATCAAAAAGTTAATATAAGATTAATGTGATTTATAATTTTAAAGAAAATCAAATATTTAAAATAATTACAATATACTTGAGTTATCCCTACTCAAATACCCCTTGAATATCTCTCTTATATAAACTTCAAAGAATTTATATTTGATCTTGCTCTTTCTCCATTAAAATCTAAAGATATGTAGGATATTTACAAAATAACTAAATCTTAATTTTTAAGATTTTCTCATTTACAAGAACTCCTTCTCGTACTAAATTTCTTGTTCTCCTATTCTAAGAATCATAAAATATTTATTAATCTAAATAATCTATTTTATCCACTTTTATACCTTCTAAGATAATTTTTTTTTTATGATCCTTTTAATCTTCAATATTCAACCTTGTTGAATATCTAATCACTGAATCTTTTAGGCCATGATATCACTTTGTTGGGGAGGGAGAGAGAAATCTCGACACCAAAAGAATACATATATATATATCAACAATCAAGAATATACCAGAAAGCCAACACTTAGGTCCATAAAAAAAATAAATTATTCATAATATTATTACAAGACCCTTGAGTTGAATTATCATCACTTAGACATAAATATACTCTTTTGTAGCATATAATTTTTTTTTTTTTTTACACTTCTCCCGTTATAACATCTTAGATAAATAGATATTTCTAAAAGAATCAAACTGATGGTGTTGAATGTGGACAACTATAATTGACATTGACATTAATAGATTGAGGCCAAATCACAAGAATGATAGTGATTCAAGCAAAAACTTACTCGAATGGGGCTATAAGATTCTGATTGCAAACAACGATGTTGAATCTTAGATTTTGATGAGGAAATCGATTGATGAGTTTATGATCTAATCAGTGTTCGAGAAAAGTGATGTAGGACTAACTTCGATCATGAAAAGACAAATAGATTGAAGTAGGAGAATCAGATGTTGGGTCGAAGTCAGATATCGAGCATCGGGTCGGAAGGATTAGGTATTGCACCAAGATCGGATGTTACGGGAGTCAACATGCCGATAGATTGACAATATGTCAAAGGAAAGTATGACGCATTGGGAGTTCGGACGAAGCATCAGATGAACCAATGATATGCCAAATAACATAGGATTTATATTTGTAATCATTTGTGTCTTGATCGAAGTAG